TTTTGTCACCACTTCCACTAAAAGTACTGGATCATTTGTAGATATAATTAATTATGTTAAAATGAGGTTATCCTGGTTAGGACAGGGTTATAATTCAGTATGACTGGTGTTTTTATAATGAGCCAGCTATGAACATGGAGGCTTAAGAGCACCTGGTCGATGTGATAAAAGAAACAAATAAGAGAAACAATGAATGGTGTGGTGGCGCACACCTTTAATCCCAGCACTCGGGAGGCAGAGCCCGGAGGATCTCTGTGAGTTCAAGGCCAGCCTGGTCTACAGAGCTAGTTCCAGGACAGCCAGAGCTGCTATATAGAGAATCCCTGTCTTGAAAAACAAGAAACAGAAAAACAACAAAAGAAGAGTAACAATGAATAGACTACCGCCAACAGGAAGTGGGAGAGCATCAGAAATCACAGTGGGTATGCTGGTTAGTTGGGAAGTGCTGAGAGCAGAACAGGTGAGTCACATGGGGCAAGCAGCACATAGACTGAGCTTCACAGCTCTACAAGGGGCAGGGAAGGCAGAAGCCGGATCCAAAGGGTAAGCTAGGGAGCGCTGATGCACACACTGGCAGTCCTCTCCACAGGAGAGGCCCACAGACACTTCAGGCCAGTCAGGCTTCATGAGACATGGACTGATGCAGTTAGTGAGGCAGCAGAGAAGTCTGTTTCCTATTGTGCAGGGCTGAGTTGCACAGGGGCCCAACATCAGGAAACGTAAGTCAGGGGGCCTAGAGTCGACCCGCCACAGCCACAGGACTAAGACAGCTGAGGGAGGTAATGTGGATGGAGAGGGCTAGATGATCTGCAGAAAAGTTCAGGTGGCAGCAGACTCACATTAGTCAGTGCTGGGGAGCTGGGAGCAGAATCCTTCCCTGATAACTTTGGAGCCAGATACCCGATGTCTAGGTCAGAAGCAAACCACTTTAATACTTTTCTTTTTATTTTGCTCCTGCATTACTTATTAATTTATTTTGTTTTTGTGTGTATGCTGTATGTACGGTATACGATGTGTATTTGTGTGTGTGTGTGTGTGTGTGTGTGTGTGTGTGTGTGTGTGTGTATGTGTGCACTCATCTGTGCATGTGAATGTGGAGATAAAAGGTCAACAACAGGTGTGGTGGGTTGAATCAGAACGGCCCCTGTAAGATCATACACGTGAGTGCTTAGTCATCAAGGAGTGAAACTCTTTTATAGGATTAGAGGGGTTAGGAGGCATGGTCTTGTTGGAGAAGTATGTCACTGGGGGTGGGCTTTGAGGTTTCAAAAGTCTCTCTCTGCCTCTCTACCTGCGGGTCAAGATGCACCTTTCAGCTACCACTCCAGTACCTGCCTGCCTTCTTACATGTTTCCTGCCATGATAGTAATGGACTAAGCCTCTGAAACTATAAGCCACCACCTCAATTAAATGCTTCCTTTTTAAGAGTTGCCTTAGTCACAGTCTTTTCACAGCAACAGGAAAGTACTAAGACATCAGGTATCTTCCTTTATTGATTTCTTTATTGATTGATTACCTTACTTTTAACACAGGATTTCTCCCTGATTCTAAAGCTCGAAAATTGTCCTTTGAATTACACACACATACATACTAAATTAAGAAACAGATGTAACAAAAAGTACACACACACACACACACACACACACACACACACACGCGCGCGCGCGCGCGACTTGAAAACAGAAATGGGACTATTTGGGTAGAGGAAGGTGTCTAGTGAATAGAGGCATCAATATTAGCCAATTACAGTGATACATACATATATGCATAAATAAAATGTCATAATGAGACTCATTACTTAGTATGCCAACAAAGATTAATAAAAGAAATTAGTATATAAATCATAAAATTATGATGACATTAGATCAAAATAATGAAGCCACATGATGACAGAGATAGGGAGAACACCACATATAAAGGGATGGAAATGGAGCAGTGAAGATGGTCAGGAAATTCCACAAGCTTGCAGAGCAGGAACGAGCTCTCCTACAGGTTTCAAAAGTGTCTGCTCTGGACTTACGCTTTCAGATCTGTGAAGTGTACATTTTTGCTGCATTTTGAGCTACCTGCTTAGAAGTATTTTGTGATATTTGCCCTGGCAGATGAGTACAGTTCACTTCAGAATGTAGAAAGAAGGAAAAAAAAGAGGGTTTTTTTTTGGTTTTGTTTTGTTTTTTAAATTCTAATACCTTTCAGAAGGATAGCTCATTTCTGGATTGACCCATTCTATGAGGCTATAAATGAGGATTATTTTTGTTCTTGTTTAGAATGGCTCTATTTATATAAAATGCTCAGAATAGGCCAAGCTCATCTAATAGGAAATAGATCAGTGTCTGACTAAGGCTGGGGTAATGAAAGGACAAGAGAAAACCGATTGTGGCTTCTAATGTTTAAGTTTAAGGCTGATGGAACCTGATATTGTAATAATGCTTGTACAACCTTGTGACAATACCAAAGCAAATGAACAAGCAAAACTCTGCATTGTATACACTAATTGGGTGAATTATAAAGAATGTACATTATAACTCAAGAAAATTATTTTCCAGGAGCTGGAGAGATGCTTCAGCTGTTAGAGAGCACTTGCTGCTCTTACAGAGGACCTGGGTTCGGTTCCCAGCACCTACAAAGTGTCTCACAACAATCTGTAACTCTAGTTCTAGGGAAATCTGACATCCTTTTCTGGCCTCTCTCGATACCAGGCAAACAGATGCTAAGCATAATAAATGCTGTCATTCATACATATAAAAATAATAAATCTTTTTTAAAAAAAGGAACCTGTTTTTTAAAAAGGCTAATGCCTAACGAGTTAACCATACTTTGCCATGAAAGAAAAAGTTGTTTTCATTTTGTAATTACATTATAATTTATTCTACTTAGTTGGTACAAAATCTACCTATGAGTTATTTATTTACTTTAGGCTTGTATTTAAATTTCACAAGTACAGTGAAAGCTTATGCTTTTGTATACAAATGTTTATATTTGTTGGTTCAATTCAGGGCAATTCTGAAGAGTCAAAATGATCTAAGCTAAATTGGAGCTGGTAGATTATTCGGTGTGAGTATGTCAGACATGACTTACAAGCTATGATTCATACAGGTTCAAATGATGAAGTGGGAGAGAAAATTATCTGAGTTTCCCTGGGGAATTGATGCCTTCTGCTTACCTTTGGGATCTCTCAGATATTGAGAAACAGTGTAACCTGCCTTTCTGGACTACTGCAGGGTACCTGTAATTTAGGGTATTTGGCTATGCTTATGTTGAAGTTCCTATTATAGAAATCCAAAGTATAAAAGAACTGTTAAGCTTTGCAACTCATAACTGTATTAGTTGCTGTTTTCATGGCTTTGACCAAAAAATGAGGTTAAATTCTGCAGATTGAACAGAAATTTAGGGCTAACTTTGTTAGTCATGAGGACATTAGCTCAGACTAAGGTGGGACTTCTCTGGATCAGTGAGACTGAATCAAAGGTGAAACCATTGCAGCTGCGGATGTGGCCCAGTGGCAGAGCTCTTGCTTGGGGAGCATTTAAGGCCTTGGTTTTGATCTTCAGCCCACAAAGTAAATAACACAGGAGAAATGGTTACATGCTCTGCAGTGTTTATTCCTCTACATCAAGAGAATGTTTTTTTTTTTGAAATGTGTATAGTGTGATATATGCATGTTTGTGTGTGGGAGTGTGTGTGCTCATGTGGAGGCCAAAGGTTTGTGTAGAGTGTCTTCTTCTATCAGTCTCTGCCTAAGGTTTTGAAACAGGGTCTCTGACTAAACCTGGAACTCACTGATTTGTTAATACCGGCAGGCAAGCAAGACTCCAGGATCCTCCTGTCTGTCTCGTCATTGCTAAGATTCCAGGCCCTGGCCACCATTACCCACCGCCCACCCCTACCCCCACCCCCACCCTTACTTCATGGCTCACTTTTATGTGGGCATCCTTGTGGGATCTGAACTCGGGTCCTCATGCTCGCACAGCCAACACTGCACTAACTGAACCCTCTGTCCTCCCAGCCCCAGGTGGTTTCTTTTTGTCCTTTTTCCACTTCAAATGCTACATGGCAAAGAGACGCCATGCATTCTTTTTTTAAGTATTAAAGAAATGTATTTAATTAAAACATTCATTTGCCAGGTGTGGTGATACACGCCTGTAGTCCCAGGACTTGGGAGTCAGAGGCAGAGGGACCTCTGGTTTATATGGTAGGACTGAAGGGACTCTAACCCACTAGAGCATGTGGGGCTCTGGCAGGCCTTGCCCTTCTCCCCCAGTCCCTCTGCCTTGCTAAAAACCATTAGATTACATTCTTGAAGCTAGCCACCAAGGTCTACTCCCTTATTTGGCCACTTCCTCCTCCTGAGGATGACTACCAAGTCCAGCAATCAGAAGCTCCCTTTGGCTCTCCTAATTAACATACCCAATTAAAATGAAATACCTTATCCTAACACAGGGTTTCCCCTTTCCCTTTATAAACCGCCATTTGCCTGTGTGACACATTGGTCTCCCCTCTATCCAGAGGCAGTCCTCTGTCCCTCCAGGACAAATATCCTGCCCCCTTCTCCTGTCCCCTTCCCCTTCTTCCTCCTCTATCTCCTTTACCACCACATCCTAGCTCATTCTAACAGACCTCCCCACTTCTTCCTCTTAAAATTACTCCTGCAAGGTCATTTGCTGCTGTTTTCTGTCTGAGTCAGAAAGCAGCCACTTTAACTTTTCTTCCCCACTTAATAAAGGATCCCTCTGTGAAAACAGGTGTTTGGGTGTGGTTTGTGCCTAACCCAGGGTCTGGAAGGAAGCCCCTGCTGTGTGGGAGTCCCCTTCAACAACAACAAAAATAAAGGAACATATGCCACAGTATGGATGTCCGAGGACAACTTCTGGGAGTAGAGAAACCATGTAGGTTCCGGGGATTGAACACAGATCATCAAAGAAATTTAAAACAATGTCACATAAAAGGATAATGTAGCCATTGGTAAAATTTTGAAACCTAAGACACAATGTATAGCTTACCATGGGCTGTACCCAGTAAGAGCTCAGGTGCCAGGTAATCTGGAGTCCCTAGAATTCGTCCCTCATCTGCTGGGGCCGCCCCTCTTCTCACACTCTTTGGAGTTCTGTATGATGTTCCCAACTTGACCTGATTCCCTGGAGTCTGCTAATTCAAGAAGAGTTCAAGACACAACAAATAAGTCTCTTTTAGATGACCAAAAGCATCAAAACAACAACATAAAGCCTCTAGGTATAAAAGATGCATCCAATCCTTGATCAGGGATTTGAAATAGACTCATACTAGTTATAATTATGAAAAGGCTCTATGTATAATAAAGTTCAATAGCTCAGATAATATCAATTATTTCAATAAGAAATGACTATAAAAGAAAAATATTTAAAAAATACCCAAGAACAAAATTTTCTTTTCTTTTGAGATAGTTTTACTTTATAGCCCACACTGACCTCAAACCCATGATCCCCCTGCCTTAGCCTCCCAAGAGTTAAGATTACAGTTTTGTAACAGGGCATTCTGTCTTAAGAAAAGTATCTTCACAGCCTGGATTGATACAAAGAATAAGAAAAGCCATGGCTGACAAATGGTTGACTTATTAAGACAACATGTAAGATAAAATAAGTCTATCATCTCTTGTATTAAGTGGTACTTAAAGAGTTTTAAGGTCATTGTTGCTTAACAACAGCCTTTTGAAACAAGTATAAGGGGCTTTTATCCCTTACAGGCAGTTGGAAAATAAAAAAAGGAAAAAATGAGGTTAAGGGACATCTAAGCCCCTAAAGGAAAGCATAAATCTTATAACCTAAATTTGAAGCTTAATCTCTTTATAATGCCCTTTTAAAGGAATAAAAGAAATGGAATTTTTGGTTTATACAAGTATAGAAAATAAAGACAAATAATTTAAATATATATGCTGTTGGAGGATAAGATAGACTTCAATTTCATATTTCAAAGTACTGTTAAGATCAGTGAAAATATGTATTTTCTTAGAAAAGCACAGTTATATAACTGCTAAGAATAATACACATTACTATCAGCATTACATTTGTACATGAAAAATTTTCAACAATCTATAGGAGAACAAAACTGTATAATTCATACCATATAACCTATCTGAGAGGCAAGTGTGTGTCTTAGGTTATCACTCTAACATTCAAAGAATGAAGTGCTAACAAAATGTAATATACCTGATGTGACATACAGGATCTTCCTTTCTGAGTGGGGGTCACAGCCATGGGGTAGGAGCCACTGTAATCACAGGAGATGTCCATAGCATCTAAAGAAGTTATGCTCATCTTGGACGGTTCTGAATTATAGGATGCATTGATGTGACTGTTAAAGCTTCGAAAAGCTACGGCATTTGTTTTGCAGGTTAATGGTTTCAATGCTTTTGAAGAGGAAGCCAACGTTTGGCTATTATCTTGGAGAGAAGTATGACAATCATCTTTTGGCAAGGAGTTTTCTTGGCACTTTGGTAATACAAGTAGATCTTCAATATTTGATTCTTCAAAAGAGCATTCTTTGTTGCTTTTATCTGGTTCTGAGGCCTGAATTTCCAGTGAATTTTCCATCATAGAAATTCCAGGAAAAGATGAATCTGAATCCACGCAGACAGTTTTAGGAGCTCTATCCTCATCAGAACATACAAAATTAGAACTGCTTAGGCAGTCCTTTTTACTGGTCATATCACAATCTTCATCTAGTTCAGACATAAGGTTTTTTGCTATCATTGGTATATGTAATTTTTCCGGGGTTTGTTTATCAGTAAAATAGGGGACAATGTTCTCCTTATTAGCAGAGTCATTTTGCTGACTTCTGTATGCTGATAGCCTGAGATTCTGGACTTCAGCTGTTATGCCTGTATTTTGATTTGCATAGCAACCTATTATTTCCTTATGATGCTTACACTCTATACAGTTTTTTTTACTTTGTATAATTTCCTGACAAGGACTAGAGTCAACCAATTGAAAACTTCTTTTAAAATTTCTTTTACCAAGGTGTTCTTCAGACATGTCACTAGACCTTATAGCCCACTGGTTGGCCTGAGGGAAACCAGACTGTCTCATGTCAGTGATCATGTTCTCATCATTTATATCCAGGTCTCTCGCTTCACAAGAGATTTCCTCGGAGAAGCATTTTCTAGGGAGGTTCAAATGGTGGCTTCCAGTGGCAGGAATGGCACTACTGTCATGAATGGGAGAAAGCGCTAATTCAAGATCTGTTTTTGTCTCAGTGGCATCTGAAGATTTTGCATAAAGCATTTCAACTGCATTCCAGCTCATCATTGTACATCCGGATGACTTGGTACTTTCCTAAAAGGAGGAAAAAGCTATTTTTAGTTATAAACCTTAGATTCTTTAAAAGCTTCTAATCTATGATCACTTACATGAGATAAGTAATCTAATGAACTAGTATGCTACCGTTTTTTTGTTGTTAAGTGAAGCAGGAGAATTATGATAATAGAGAACTAAAAACAATTATTGTATAAGCTTACTATACTACATTACTTATAATAACATTGTTTCGAATGAAACATTGGTCAAAATTTAAATAAATTATGTCCTGATACTTATTTGGATACCATATACATATTAAACAAGAAAAATTAATAGAATATATTTAGACAAATTTAAGGGTAGGGCTATATTATAAATACATTGTCTATTTTGCAATAGAAGTATGGTGATTCTGTTTAAAATTGCAAAATGCAAGAGTTTAAAATCTAGTTACTGAAAAGTTAGAGGCCAAAAAAAATCACTGTAAACATGTATTACTATATAAACAAATAGTTTAAAGTACATCCATCTATTTAGCTATCAATTGCTCTGGAATAGACACTTTTAAGGACATATCCCTATTAACTATATTGTCTAAAAGTTATTTCTGAAGAGTTTCCATTCCATTAAATGAGAAATTGGTGAGAAACAGTATAGGAGACATTATGAGCTTTAAACTTATGTAGGTAAACAACAAACACAATTATCCATGTCTTTATCACAGAAAGAAATTAAAAAGTCTGCCAGGAAGCCAAACATTTTTTATCAGTTTACTACAATACTTAATCACTCATCATACATTAAGCAAGACTAATATCACAACTGAATGAGAAATGAAATAAAGATAGTAAAAGAATTTGACAGAATATCCAGAAAAATTAAGAGTTTTTATAATATTTCGCTGTACCCAAGTAACAATGCCATTTCCTTACAGGTTTTATATGGAAAGGCACGGGGTTGCTATCGTGGGTTTCCTGTGTCTAGCTTCGGCTTACATAGACTTCCTCCTAACCTGGCAGTCTTTTTCCCATTTGGGACTGCTGTGGCATTCTGATTCCACACTGGATGCGATGGTATGAGACTGACTGCTAGTACTTGATGTGCCCAGCCTCTTCCTGCACTGGAGTAGGTTAGAAGTCAGGCATTTCACAGGTAGTTCTAGATTGGATGCAACTCTTTCAAGGCCTGTAGGGCAAAGAAAATACTTGTTTATTTTCACAGCTATTAGTTCTTTATGAAACCTGACTCTTTCCAGGTAATTGTATTATATGTTACATAGAATAACTATTCTTATTGGGGTGCATTATTGAGATATGCTATAAGTTAGAATGTTACTAGATTTATTCAGCTCAGTATGTTTAATTAAAACTGTAGCAGTACTTGAGACATTGAAATTTATAATGCTCATCAGTGTGAATTACAGAAAGCCATAGGCATCTGCTTTTTTTGCACTGCTCAGGATTATACACATGGTGGTGTATACATTTAAACAAACACTCTACCAAAGAGCTTCACACTTATACCTCCATAAGGGATTTTGTTACTATGATCTGATAAGTCACATGATAGGAAACTGACTATTAGTGAGCACTGCAATAAGGCAGCACCTAGGGTATATTTGCTCTCTCATAAATATGGTTAGATATGGTTGCTCCTTACCTTGGTGAATGTGTGTGTTTGAGTTGGAGGCCAGAGATCAGCCTGGGGCAGTTTCTCAGGCACCATATATCATCATCATCATCTTCTTCATATGTATTTTATGAATTTTAACTTATTTTTATTTTATATGTATAGGTGTTTTGCTTGCATGTGTGTCTGTGTACCATGTGCGTGCCTAGTACCCGTGGAGGTCAGTAAGAGTGTTAAATACCCTGGAACTGGACTTATAGACAGTTGTGAGCTGCCATGTGGGTCATGGGAATTGAAGCCAGGTCCTCTGGAAAAGCAGCCAGTACCCTTAACTGCTGAGCCATCTCTCCAGCCCCACTTTGTTTTTTGGGATAAGGTCTCTCACAGGCCTAGAGTTAGCCAAGCAGGATAGGCTGGCTGGCCAGTCAGCCCAAGGTACTCTGTCTCTGTCTCCTCAGTTCTGGGATTACGAAAGTGTTCCATCATGCCTGGCTTTTTCAAGTGGTTTTGCAGACAGAATAAATGTCCTCACTTTACTTTCAATTAGACACAAGTGTGGTGATATTTTGTTTGTGCTCTAACAAATAAAGCTTGCCTGGAGATCAGAGTGCAGAGCAAGCCACTAGAGGCCAGGCAGTGGTAGCACTTACCTTTAATCTCAGCTCATGGGATCTCATGCCTTTGATCCCAGTACTTGGGAGGAAGAGACAGGAAGTGATAAGGCGGGGTGGAGACTGGCCCCTCTCATCTGAGGATTCCTAGAGGTAAGAAGTCTTTCTAGTGGCCGGCTGCTCTGCTTTTCTGATCTTTCAGCTTTCACTCTGATATCTGACTCCGGGTTTTTATTATTAAGACTAATTTGTGCTACACACAAGACAGTTGCGCTTTTACCAAATGATTTAAGCATCTAAAGATTTTATATGTTTATAAAAATGCACATTGTGGTGGCTTGAATGACAATGGCCTGCATAGGCTCATGTTTGAATAGTTGGTCCCCAGCTGGTGGAACTGTTTGGGAAGGATTAGGTGTAGCATTAAAGGAGGAGGTGTGTCACAGGGGCGGACTGAGGTTTCAAAAGACATTCCCAGTCTGTTCTCGGCTTCTTGTTTGTGGATAAAGATGTGACCTCTCAACTGTTGCTCAAGCCACCTACCCCTGTGTGCTGGCTCTGCCTCCATGACCTCTACCCTCTAGAACTGGAAGCCCAGCTAAACTCTTAACCACTTTTGTCAACTTGCCTTGGCCATGGTGTTTTATCACAGCAAAAGTAACTAAACATATGTATCTTGTTTCCTTTCTTCAAAAGGATGAACATGACATTAAACTCCAGGAAATTAGAGTTTTGTAACATAGGAAGCATTACATTTTACAACTAGGAAGGGAATTTCAAAATCCATCTAATCCAACTTCATTTTTCATACACAAATCCTCTAGGTGGATCAGGTTGGCCTTCCACTCAGAGATCCACCTCCTTCTGGTGTGGTGATTAAAGGTGTGTGCCACTATACCTGGCATTTTCTTTTAAATGCAAAAAATACACTTACTTTGAAACCAGTTGTGGTGACACATACCTGTAACTTTAGTACTCAGGAGGCTGAGGCCAAGAACACTGAAAGGTAAAGGCCAACCTGGGCTATTAGCTCAACATTAGCCTGGACAACATATTGAGAATTTGTCTCAAAACATCAACAAAACAAATGAACAAAACAGTAAAACAAGGAACAAGAAAACCTCAACCTCTATTTTGAGTTTTTAAACTTAAACTACCCCAAAACCTTTGGGAAATAAGGTTATAAAGACAAACACTTCTCTTTTTCATATAAATTTCCATAGACCCAAGTATAGCGAAATTCACCCAACCATCATTCCAATATTATAGGTAACTGAATATGATTATTTGCAAGACAGTTTATTCTGTGGGATTTATAAAATCTACTGTAATCATCATTTATGTAATAAAATATAGGAGTGCCACAGACGTCTGAATATTGGCTTTTTAAAATTATTAAATTGCTACTAGGAATTTAAAATTTTGAGATATTTTTGTTTTTTAAACCACATACTTAGTGGAATAAAACTCTTTTATACTTACGTGACTTTAGTAGTCCACTAGAGTTAGAAGTAGGGTCCTTCTGATCTATGGACATAGGACAAATTAATCCTTGAGAAAGTTGTGCCTCAGACTTAGAGGCTGAAAACATGGTTGTAGAGTCTTGATCTTTTTCCCCAATTGGTGTGAACTATTAAAAAGCAAAATTATTTGGGGTCAGTGAGATGGTCAAGGATAAAGGCACCTCCCACTGATGACATGACTTCAATCCCTGGGTCTCCCATATGGTGGAAGGAGAGAACTGACTTCTCTAAGTTGTCCTCTGCTTCCATTTGCACACTATGGTAACATACCCACACCTACATGTGACAAAAATGTTCTAAAAAGAAAAAACATTAAAACAAAAATTAAAACCCAATACTAAGAGATTCATCTTCAGATGGATATAGAAAATAGATGCCATACCACCTGAGTACAAACTGCCAAAAGTAATGCCATCTCATGTTTGATATTTACATCTGTTATTTTTATTTTAAAGCAGGTTAAAATTTTAAGTGGTAATGATGAAAAGGTTTTCCTTATTAAGTACTTACAAATCCCAAAGAACTGATGAGAGATAAGACTTGTCCTGGGGTTCGTGAATAATCTTGCTTAGGTTTAGCCATTGATGGTGTTGTAAGAATATCCATCATATTGATATCTATATATGCAAAGGAAGATATATGAATATATCTAAAACCATTGCTTATCATTGACTATATCAATAATTACATGTTCTGAACTTTGCCTCTCTCTTTTTTCCCTTTTTTCTTTCTTGGTTTTCCGAGACAGGGTTTCGGGGCGTGCACCACCACCGCCACCATGGCCACGGCCACCACCACCAGGCTTTGCCTCTCTACATTATGAACTTTACCTACAAAACTGGCTGGAGCAGGATACATACATGCAGAGAACTTTCTGAACTGCAGAGGCAATGTTTACATCTAATTAACTAATTGGAATCATTAAAAGTTTGAGAGGTAGAGATATAGCTCAGTGGTAGAGTGTCTTGCCCAGCAGAGCATGCACAAGGCACTGGGTTCTAGCCCCAGTACTGGAAAAAAAACAGTTTTCTATAACAGTCTTGTAGAATAGGTAGAATAGAGCAAAATAACCCAGAATGCTACCAGCTTTTAAAGAAACACTCAGTCACTAATTATCAGTTATTTCAATACAAGTAACTGCCACTGCTGTTGGCTATTCATCAAAATGAGATTATAAGACCTTATGGCTGAGAGCACCCACACTCCCTCATTGTACAATTTAAACTACAATGAAACTGAGCTAAGAGCTTCCTCACTGCTAGCTAGCCCTCACAGTACCAGAGGGTGCTGGGGGTTGCTGAGAGAGAATTATCATTAACATTTTTATCCAGCTGTAGATGCTGTATAATACTGCTGCCAAACTAGGACAGACAGGTCCGTTGGTGCAGTAGTGGTGACGATGTTCTAGGGTAACTCACCATTCTCTGAGTGACTGAAGTCCTGCTCTGAGGGAGAAAATCCTTGTTGATACTCTAAACTCAGACAAAAGTCCATGTTTGGAAATGTCATCGATCCTGGGAAAGGGAAGTCCCTCCTGCTCTAATTTTGACGAATGATGTACCTATCAAATTGCCTTCAAAATAATTATGTTCATATCCATAGATCACTGTTGCTGTCGGCTCTGGCTACAGCAGTTTATTTTTGTAGTGGCCTCAGTAATTACAGATGCTCACACCTGATCAAAGTGATGAGAATAGGTGACTACTGAATGCCCAGCATGACGAGGCCGCTTCTGTCACATATCCTGCCTCCAAGGTGCAGGGTACATCACAGAAGGGGTGGGAAGTGTGCAAAAGCTGGAGAGTGGGGTGAGATGGATGTGGAATGTTGACTTATAGGAGTGACTGTAGTATTACTGAATTCAAGCCAACTGTGATCACCTGATCAAGACCCACATAAGACTGGACCCACCAACATCATGACATGGGGTGGGGAGGGGTTAGCAAGGTCTTCCCTTCCTGAGGATCCATATGCAGCTAATGGTTTCTAGGAGAGGGAGACACATTTCTCCAGGGATGTAGCCACTGGGAAGGTCCCACACTCCTGTAAACAACTCTACTGTAACTAACTGGGCATTTAAGAAAACACAAAAGACATGAAAGCATTAGAGGGACTAATTAGGTAGAGGAAGGGGACCTGCGGAAGTAGGATGACAGGGTAATGGATGTGTGTGAATATGATCAAAATACATTATAAACAGGCATGAAAAAAATCACTGTTATCTGTTAGACCTAAAAATTATAAGCTCTGAAATTAGGCAAGATAATTTTTATTATAAATAAAGTACTGGGGGAAAAAAAGGAAATGAGTTAATTCAATTATGGTCCCTTTCTATCAACTCATGTTAGACTTAGGTCAAGAGAAAATTTATCTACTTTATTAGTATGTATAAGTTTTTACTTAGATGAAAAAAGTAAGAGAAGTCTGTTCTCTAGATCAATTTTGTTCTTTATAAAAGTCTTTAAGAAGTCAATTTAACCTGCAACCCATGCTCTTGGAAGGTTGACACAGTAAGATTGCTATGAGTTCAAGGCCAAAGAAAGGCCTTGTCTTAAAACATTATACTTCAAGTCTGGACATACCAATTTCATTTGTCTAACACCAATGAAGCAGTAAAAACAAAAGTAATAATAATCTTTTAGGCCTTACTTTATGACCCAAATGATTTAAGCTTACCAATACTACCATCCTTATACAGTTATCTACTAACTAATTAGAGTTTGGTTTGTTTCACAATTTAAAAATGTTTAGATTATAAGAAAGCTACTATGGTGAACATATTATATATTGTAAAACATCCCAAATTGAATCTCACATAGAATCTACAATCAAATATTAGTTCTGAGGCAAGATGTGTGAAAAATCACATAAAGTGGGATTAAGAAGACTGCATCAGCTAATACTTTTAGCTAATTAGGAATAACTGTAGGCCTGTATGTATTTTCAAATACTTGCAATTTCAGAGTTTACAATTTTTAATTTCAATTTTATACTACACTTCATTAAACAAACCTTTTGAAAAAGCTGGGTGTAGTAGCACATGCCTGCTTCCCAATGCTCAGGAGGCAGAGGCCGAGGCAGGACTGTTACAAGTTCAAGGCCAGCCTGGTCTATATAGTGAATCCCAGTCTAGTCAGGGCTATAGAACAAGAACATGCCTCAAAAACCTAAAAACAAGGGCCAGTGAGATGGCTCAGTGGGTAAGGGTGTTCACTCCCCAAGCCTGGTGACCTGAGTTTGATCCCTGGAATCTAAGTAAAAGCGGAATGACAGAACCACTCCACAAAGTGTCTTCTGACCTCCACACATGCCATGCATGCCTCCACCCCACATCATGCACATATACACAATAACAATAACAATAAAAAATCCAAAGGAAAACAAAAAGAATTCTGCCTTTCCATACAGTCCTTTTGGTGTGTGTATCTGTGTCATTGGAGGGCAAATTTAGGCCCTGCACATGCTGAGCAAGCACACTGCCTAGAGCTACTTGTAGCGCTCTCTCTTGTACAGCTTTCGTTTGTGTGTGCAGGTGTGGTTTAAAGCCTTCAGGTCAGCGCACAAAGGCCTGGATGTCATCACAGCATCTTCAGACACTGTGCTGTTACACGCTGTTCTTCCTTCCCCTCCTCAGCGTCACTTTCACATCTTCTCATCTCCTCTCTTTCTTAACTCTCCTTCTTTTAAAAAAGATTTATTTTTATTATGTGTACCTGGGTGGCTGTGTGTATGCAAGCCCAAATGTACATGTTTGCCTGTGTAGGACGGAAGAGGGCATCGGATCCCCTAGAGTTGGATTACAAACTGTTTGTGAGCCATCTGAAGCCTGTGCTTGGAACTGAACTCTGGTTCTCTGCAGCAAGTGCTCCTAACTGCTGAACCATCTTGGCAGGCTGTAGGGGACCAGCCCCCAAACTTACTTACCCCAGCTACTCTTGATGGAGGGATAAGAGACTTAGTTAGAAATAGAGGGGAGAGAAACAGAGAGAAAACACAGGATAGACCTGGGTGGGCCTGGATTCCTATCCGCTGGCCCATTACTTTATTCCAAAGGTCTATTTAAACAATGCTAAGGGGTGGAGCAAAAGATCCCCCTCCCTTGCTAGTTAGACCCTTACAAACACCTGGTACCCAGGCCCATGGTCCAATCAACCTCTTATGCAGTCCTGCTGGGTACAGCCACTAGGAAACCTAGTGGGCTCCAACATGTCCCTCTTCTTTATATTTTAAAAGAAATTCTTGATGCAACTACATCAAACTTAAAGACTAACAGGTTAACATAATTCTAATATAAATATTGCTATGCATAGTTATAATATTCTCAGTCTTACATCTTAAAGCAAACTCTTAATATTTCTGGCTAACAAAACATAGGATAAACTTCTGATGTATACATCTTAAATACTTTAATTTCACAAAACCATGGTGCATCAATATCAATAGGTTAACATAATTTCTACAAGCCTACTCTCAACCTGCAAACCTAATCTCAACCTACAAGCCTACTCTTAACCTACAAGCCTACTCTTAACCTGCAATTTAGAACTATACAACATAACACTAATTCACTCAAGTAACACAAAAATATTTTTTATTTTTTTATTTTTATTTATTTATTTTTTTTGGTTTTTCGAGACAGGGTTTCTCTGTGTAGCTTTGTGCCTTTCCTGGAACTCACTTTGGAGACCAGGCTAGCCTCAAACTCACAGAGATCCGCCTGCCTCTGCCTCCCGAGTGCTGGGATTAAAGGCGTGCGCCACCACCGCCCGGCTTAAAATATTTTTTAAATTAAATATACTGAGAAATATTAACATTCCCCCCTTTCTTTTAAAAAAAACCAAACCAAACCAAACTTCTCTATTTAAACAGTTCCATTTTTACATAAACAGTTCCACAAGCAGTTCATAAGTCATCACTGTTGATAGTCTATATGCACAAGTAAATTCAAACTGTCCCATTGTAATAATATCATTACTGTCCATTTTATTTTTTAAGTTCGAAAGTTCAAAGAGTTCTGGTACCATTTCTAAAAGTTCCTTTGAGCGCTCATAGTCAGGCCCTGGCTTGTCAGCTGCCCTTAAGTCTGTGTATAGCTGTCAGAATCGTAATGACTCTGAAGCAAACAGTTCCAAATAGAAGTGCCACAGGCAAACTTTTCAGTTCAAGCAAGTCTCTCTCAAACCTCCGATTTCAGCTACTGCTGTGCTTTGCAGTTTGTAGCCTTCTGTAGCCAGTCCTGGACCAGGCTAGAGAGCTTCACCTCACAGCCACACGGGCTCAAGGCTCCTTCAGCTGCCATGAGCTGAAACTGTGGCCTTCTCACGGCAACCCCGGCTTTGGGACGAAAACCATTACCTGTACTGCTGACAGTCCAAGGGCTCAGCAAACGTGGTCTGGAATCCTCTGTAGGAGTCAGCAGTTTTCGCAGTTTTGGTTTGGCTGTTCAGTTTGGAGCACTCTGCAGTTCCCGAGGGTCTCTGCTGTTCAACTTTCCCGCGGCGACAAAAACCACAGGTATCTCTTCCTTTTTCGAGGTGTAGCATCTCAAAGGTTGCAAAATCTTGCTGCTCACCTTTCCTGCAGTGTGGCATCTCTGCAGGGCTTTCCAACCTGCTGCTTGTCGTTGGCCTCTCTGTGGCTTAGCTTGCTCATTCTTCACCGTGGCTTTCTTTGGGTAGAAAGCTTGCAGACCCTCGTGCATCTGCCATCTGCACGGTGTTGATGCCTTGAGGGTTTCAGCTTCCGAGACCCTCTGGCTGCTATTTTCTGAAGCTGGCAGTCTCTGGAACTGTTTCTTGTTGTTACTGGTGAATTTCTGGAACTGCCACATCCGCAGTCTGCCATGGACATTGCTCTCCGAGTCCCAGGTTTGGAAAACCTACTCTAAATGACTTTTTTCACCATATCTTTAACCTAAGGCCTATATATTCTAAACCTACATTTCTCTGACTCACTTTACACTAAATCTATGACCTATTTAAACCTACATTCTATCATTCAAGCCTACATAATAAACTTACGTTCTATAGGACTACTCTAGCACTTTTTCAAACACCTAACTTAGCAAACACCTAAAAGAAATGTATTATTTCTTACTCTTACCTAACTTACACTAGGAGCAAACTCTCTACAGATCTACCCTAAACCTCTATTTATAAACCTCACCTAAGTCTCACTTAAGCCTACACCTTACCTAAGTGTTAGTTACATTCAATAGGTCCTGCACTATATTGCTATACTCTACCTCCCTTATTTTTTTTAATAGATAAGAGAGAGAGGGAGAAAGAGAGATCCTAATGCTGCAGTTTTGCAGTATTTCTTTTCTTCACCATCTAGCCTATACACAAGAATAAAATACTGTTGCCTTCATTTATCAATTCCTTACCGGCATGCCTACACTCACAATGCACCCTACAATCCTTTCACCAAGCCCTAGGGATTTTTTTTTAATCTTTTTAATCTTTTTTTTTTTTTGTCTCTTTCAGGTGCCACTGTGGGGGACCAGCCCCCACACTTATTTACCCCAGCTACTCTTGAGGATGGAGAGATAAGAGACTTACTTAGAAATAGGGAGGAGAGAAACAGAGCTAAAACATAGGATAGACCCAGGTGGGCCTGGATCCTTATCCACCGGCCCAGAACTTTATTCCAAAGGTCTATTTATAACAATGCCAAGGGGTGGAGCAAAAGACCTCCCCCTTGCTAGTTAGACTCTTACAAACACCTGGTACTCAGGCCTGTGGTCCAATCAACCAACCTCTTATGCAGTCCTGCTGGGTACAGCCACTAGGAAACCTAGTGGACTCCAACATCCGGCCCCTCTTCTACACTTTTTAATAGAAAATCCACTCTTTCAAGATGATAACTTATCATCTTTCCATGATTCTATGATGAACTTAAGTAATGTCTTGCTTCAATTTATTATACAACATTACTGTAAATCATTTTATTCACTTACATTTTGTTCTCTAGACTCACTGCCTTAGAATAAATTCTAAAACGTAAGATCAACTGTTCTGGGAATTTTGTCACCGGCCTCTGGCCAATTGAGAGGAGCGTTTTGGTCCAAGAGGTGGGGTTTTCATTGGGGATGGATGTGACCAGGGGAGGGGCAGTCTTTTAGCAAGGAGCAAGTGACAGCGGGTGTAAGCGGTGGCTTGTGACTTGGTTCCAGTTCCCCTTTTGTTCTTTAATATTTGTAAATGGATTTTGTTTGATAATAATTGGTAAAGAAGTCATTTATCAATCAATAGGCTAGGAATGTAGCTTAGTGTCAAAATGCTTGCTTAGCATGTAAGAGGCCTGAGTTCAGTCTCTAGTATTGAGAAATCAAAACATCAAAACCAGATATAGTGGCCTATGTCTATAAACCCAGCACTTGTGTGGTATAGCAAGAGTTCATGGTTATTTTTGGCTACATAACAACTTTGAGGTCAACCTAGGCTGTATAAACCCTGTGTTACTATACCTTCTCCTAAAAAAATTCTACATAAAAACAAAGAGAATTAAAATATTTTGTTTTCTTAAAACAGACAATTTTTCTTTTGAAAGCACTAAGTCAATATATAATCGCCTTAGTAAAACAGTGTGTTTTTTTTTTTTTTTGTAGTTTTGTTTTTGGATCAGAATTCCTTTGTGGAATTCTGATCCAAAATAGTGTAAAGGGTTAATTTTATTATTATAATAATAATTATTATCGTTATTTATTGTTATATTATTATTAATTATTATTGTTTTTATTTTTTTGGTTTTTTGAGACAGGGTTTCTCTGAGTAGCTTTGCGCCTTTCCTGGATCTCACACTGTAGACCAGGCCTCGAACTCACAAAGATCTGCCTGCCTCTGCCTCCCGAGTGCTGGGATTAAAGGCGTGCGCCACCACCGCCCAGAAATTTTTTTTTTTTTAATATTAGCATTTTAAAAATTATAACTCAGAAATGAACTTATCTATCTATCTATCTATCTACCTATGAATGAACTGTTATCTACCAAGTTCTTGGTAGTGGCAAGATGTATTTGCATAAGTATTTTAAGAGTCAGCTCTGGATCATATTACAGTTTAGTCATTTTGTTTATGCATACTTGTTCATACTATTTCAGCAAAGATAAAGAGAACAGTAGCTGCCAGTTCCATTTTAAAGATCTAAGGAGTTTTAAGGACCTTCGAAGATCCAAAAATGATTATTTTCTTTGTTTTTTTCTTCTTTTCTTGCTGCTAGGATTGGATCCAGTCAAGCAAACATTCTGCCACAGACCGCAAAGTGCCCTCCCCATTCCAAGGCCCCTTTTAATGGGGGAAAAGAACAACATTACTCATTTCTAGCCCATCTCAGAAGAGCTATCAAATTTTATGTAATGTAAATTAACAAGAAAAAAAGTTAAATTAATGAAATAGAATGTCTGAAGTTCGCACTTACCTGTCCTTATTCTTACCTCTATTCAGAGTAACTCTGGAAAGGCCAAAGTCTGTCAGCTTAATATGACCCTCATTGGAAATAAGCATATTGTCCGGTTTCAAATCCCTGAACATATAAAAGGCAAACAGATACTGAAAAAGTAGTTTTGATGTTAAAATACCAGATGGGGTGGGGGAAATTATAAGAGGAAACCTAATTAATTCCTTTAAAATAGAAGACCTCATGAGTGGCTCAGTAAAGTCCAGAAAACAGCTCTCAATACCATCTATTACATATCAGAATCCATAAAAAAATTGTATGATTCAATACTAGATTCTGTTTGGCATTATTTTTAGATATCTTATCCACCAGCCCACCAGTTCAAATTTATATCCACCCCTTTAAAGTAAGGTATGGTTAAGTTTAAACAGAGCAGAGCCATTAAGCCTTTCTCTGAACAGAGAAGGACGTGCGCATCAGCTAAGACCACAAAGTCTCACTTTTGTATGATGGATGGTATGGAAGTGGAAAGAGATGAATAATCTTCATATTAAAATGTCATGTTTATGTTCAAAGCAACATTTAACAAAATGCAGGGAGATTAAACAAGAGCCAATGTGTGGTGATATTTTGTTTGTGATCTAACAAACTTTGCTTAAAGATCAGAGTTCAGAGCTAAGCCACTAGTTAGTCATAGAGGCCAGGCAGTGGTGGCACACACCTTTAATCCCAGCACTCAGGAGGCAGAGGCAGATGGATCTAAATTCAAGGCCACCCTGGGCTACACAAGATTGATCCAGTCTAAAAGAAAAACAGAGCCTGGCAGTGGTGGCACACACTTTTGATCCCAGCACTTGGTATCTCATACCTTTAATCCCATCGCTAGGAGGTGGAGACAGGAAGTGATATGGCTGGGTGAAGAAGGAATATAATAAGGCAGAGGAGACAGGAGCTCAGTTCCCTTTCAGGCTGAGGATTCAGGAGAGGTAAAAAGTCTCTCTTGTGGCTGGCTCCATTACTGATCTTTCAGCATTTACCAATATCTGGCTCTGGGTTTTTATTATTAAGACCAATTAGGACTCGTGCTACACCAACACTCTATTTAAATGTATATTACAACTGAGCTGTAGGTAAAGTAGAAATACAAGCAAGTAGTTTCTGCTTATATTAAAGACTCAAACACAATACATTTTAAGTAACAATGTACAGAAAAGTCAGTTTTACCTATGGATAATTCCATGTCTATGCAGGTAGTCTAAAGCCAATGCTACTTCAGAAATATATTTGATAGCCATCTCTTCATCAAAATAACCATATATATGTAGGAGAGACTTGACATCTCCACCAATAAGATATTCCATTACCTATCAAAAAAGAATTTAAAAACAATATACTTGAAATATATAGTATTTGGGGAATTAGTTTTATTTTTTAGAATGGTTACACAATAAAACATATTTTTTTTGTTATCACTCATTGCCCTGAACGTACCATTTTTCTGCCTCAGCTTTCTAAGTACTGGGATGATAGGCATGCATCACCAGTCCTGGCTTCTCATATTATTTTTCTGGTTAAAAACTGAACTGGTCAGTTTGAACAAACACCAGAATTACATAAAAACTCAAAGACTATTAGAATTACTTCCCATTTGCCAACATCTCAGTTCACAAATTTTTAGCATGTGGCCAGATTTGGTTTCTTCTTCTCCTCCACATAGATATTTTAATGTTAATATTACAAATTGTGCTGGCTAGTTTTTATGTTAACTTGACATAAGCTAGAGTCATCTGACAGGAGTGACCTCATTTGAGAAAATGCTTCCATAAGACTGAGCTGTAGCTGGGCAGTGGTGGTGCACGCCTTTAATCCCAGCACTCAGGAGGCAGAGGCAGGTGGATCTCTGTGAGTTCATGGCCAGCCTGTTTTACAGAGCAAGATCCAGGACAGGCACTAAAGCTACAGAGATACCCTGTCTCAGGGGGAAAAAAATAAAATAAACAAACAAAAAATTAAATAAATAAGCAATGTTAAAAACAAAAAACAAACAAACAAGAAAAACAAACAATCAAAAATGGCCTGAGCTGTAGGCAAGCCTGTAGGGCATTTTCTTAATTAGTGATTGATGCAGAAGGACCCAGTCCGTTGTGGGTGGTGCTACCTCTAAGCTGGTGGTCTTGGCTGCTATAGGAAAGCAGGCTGAGCAAGCTAATGAGGAACAAGGCAGTAAGCAGCATTCCTCCATAGCCTCTGCATCCGCTCCTATCTCCAGGCCCCAGCTTCCTTCAAAGAACTGACTCAGGACACATTAGGCCCCCAAACCCCTTCTTTCCTTCACAAGTTGCTTTTGGTTATCATGTTCGTTACAGTACTAGAAACCATAAGACATATATTAACATCTACACTCTAATGTAATTATTTTATATGAATGCATTTTGTTTAGATTAAGCTTTTTAATTTAAAAATTACAATAACCTCAGCAAAATTGGAATTAATATATAATTTTATTTTATTTCTTTAGAGATGGGATCTTAATATGCTTTTCAGGCTAGTCTTGAACTGAGTTACACAGACCCTTTTGCCTTGATTTCTTTTATTGCTGTAATCACCTGGCTAGTACATTAGTTTTTGCTGAGTAATTTGCTGATAAAGTTTAGAAGTTAATGAACTGTACCAGAAGCTTCTGTTTTAAGACAGTATTCCTCTGTACACCTGGCTGGCCTAGTCTCGCAATCCTCCTGCCTTTACCTCTCAAATCTGAGACTACAGGCTTGTTCTGTGACACCTGACGTACATTAGACTCTCCATCAATTGCTGAATAAGGCACCCTTATGTAACCAAAGAGCAATAAAATTCTATATGTAGTATGTTTATATTTCTATGACCATCTCAATATTGTCCTTTATGGTTCCCCTCCCCACTGCCCATTCACGAGTCATGAAACAAGGTATTTTGTTGTTATATCTCTCTAGATTCCTTTAATCTGGAACAAATTTTCAGTGTGCGTCTTTCATGATAGAAACAATGTTGAAGAAAACAGGCATGTTTACAGAAGGAAGCCTTTTAATTTGAGGCTATTTGATTACGTCCTCATGATTTGATTCATGTTATGAATCTTTGGCATAAGTATAGAGGTGATACAGTCTTTTTGGTGCTGGCTGCCAGAGGGGACTAATAATTAGATGAGCTTGAGGTTTTGGTTTCTTTTGAGCACCCCCTCTCCGACCCCCAACCTGGGGACTAATCCCTGGGCCTGTGGATCTCAGACAAGCACTCTACCACTGAGCTGTATCTTCAGGCCCCTGGATCTTCAATAAACCCCTAGAGAGTGTTGCCATTGTTTGTCTATGGACCACATTTTGAGTATCAAATCTAAACTAGTAAGAAAGTTAGATAGGTAAGACATGTCTATTATTAAATGTCTGGAAAAAAAGGAAAATAGAACTGGAGATATAGCTTAGTGGCAGGATTCTCCCCTAGCATGTGTAGGGCCTTGGGTTTGGGGCTCAGGACCACATATAAACAATAAACCAAAAAAAAAAAAAAGAAAGAAAGAAAGAAGTAAAAATATTATAGCTGTTGAATTATTATAGCAATTTTAGAGTGAGAACATTTTAAAAGCTACTGTGTTGAGCAATCACACCTACCACTCACCTAGTGGTTAATAGGATTGGAAGCTACTGGCTGCCAACAAGTTAAGTCAAGGTCAATCACAGAGACACAATCATGGTTTTTACATACATACATATAAAACAGGATGCTGTAAAGGCATTTGGAGGCCTCAGGAAGAATTAAGGGATTAAGTAGAAGCAGGAAAGCAGAGATAGCTTACCAACCCCGGGATCATGTCTGGCTTGAGACCCATCTGCATCTAGCTGCATGTACATCCCCTCTCCAAACAAAGCAGTTAGGTCACCCTGGCCTATACCTCCCTAGGAGTCCTTATTAGCTCTTCCTTTGTGGCCAAACACACCTTGAAACTTACTCTGAAACAAGAGGTGGAGGACCAGCCCACTCTACATTGGTGTAGTAAGACAATCCATGTTCTAAACATGGAATTTTAAGGAAAAAAACCTCTATTTATGACCTTATGCCTATACATAACTGGGCATGTAGATAATTAAAATCAGGTGCATCACAGGAAAGGGCATGCATAGTAGGCAAGTTTACATAACCCAAGCTTATCGATCAAACAGAAAACTACCCACACCCCTCTCCTAGAAATCAACTCCTCCTCTTCTTCCTGGAAGCCACAGGCAGTAACCAGGTGCTCTGGAGCAAATTTCTCAGCGTCTGCTGTTCTTTTTCAGGTATCTACATTGCACATTCACTGTGCCTTTGAATAAAACTTTGCTATTTGTGTGTTTCTATTCTCCGAGCAAGATGACGACAACCTGGAAACATATGGTCCAGGCTGCTAACAAGACAACTTTCTCACCTTCTTTGGACATAGCATTCTTTTTTTTTTTTTTTTTCTGTGAAGAGCCAGATAATAAACACTTTGAGCTTTGTGGGATCCTATTACAATTATTTCACTATGCCACTGTAACACTGCTGAAGATGTAGTTAACAGACAAAAGGATGTGGTTAGGTTCCAATAAAACTTTACCTACTGTCTGAAATTCAGATTTCACTGTAATTTTCAAGTATCAGAAAAAGTTTTTTCTTGGTGTTGTGTGGTATAAATGTGTGTTCACAGGGGCCAGAGGACATTAGGAATACTATTCTATCTCTGTCTTTATTTTCTGTGACAAGGTCTCTCACTGAATGTGGAGCTAGCATGGTGGGCAGCAAGTCTCAGTGATATTTGTGTTTTTGTGACACTACAGCACTGGTATTACAGGGGCATCTATGATCACACTCAGATTATTGTGGCCTCCAGGAATTTGAACTCAGGTTCTCATGGATGTGCAGTAAGAACTCTTACCACCTGAGCTATCCCAAATTCCAAAAATAGTCTATAATTTTTTTCTCAATGTCCTCCCCCCAGCAAGCCCCCCCACCCCCGCACCTTTTTTAAAGCAGAGTCTTCTGTATCCAGGGTGGCCTCAAACTTGTTTGAACGACTAATCCTCCTGCTTCCTCCACCTCAGTGCTGGAATTAAATGTGCATACCACCACACATTTATTTGGTGCTGGGGGCTGAACCCAGGTCTTTAAAAAAAAAAGGAATGCAAATGTTCTTCTTAGCTCATAACAGGTCGCAGTGGTTTGTAGCCACTGGCTTAGAAGATGGAAGTCAGTTTCTCTTCTATTTGGTATTCATTTTCTTACAGTGAATCACCCGAAGAACAGAATGCTATTTCACACTGTTTTATAACCTAGAGATACTTGAAGGTGCTCTCCTTAACCTTACTGATCTCTCTCTCTCTTTTTTTGAGGTAGGGTCTTCTATATAGCTTAGGCTGGCCTAGAACTTGCAATGTTCTTGCTTCTACCTTCCAAGTGCTGAGATTATAGACCTGTGCCATACTGCACAGCTTTTAGCTTTGCTTTGGAGCTTAGCTTTCCCAGACAAACTTGCATCCTCATACCAAAATTATTTCCCTAGCAACATCAGGTATCAGCTTTATCAGTAGAGCTCACTACAATCCAATACTGAAAGTGACTAAAGAAAACAGAACCAGACAAAGACCTGAGACAATTTCATCAACAACAAATTCATCTAAGAAATTATCAAATTCATGATTAAATGACGGAATTCTATGCTGTCAAAAAGATACTGCTGCCATTAGAGAAAACAGTCAGGACTTACTGTATGATCCTGTTTACCATTCATTTGAACTATGGCTTGTTAAGAAATAATAAGACTACAAAAATGCCTTGTTTGTAAATTCATCTTGATGCAATAAAAAAAGTGCTCAGCACTATGTTACAAAACTTTCTTTCTTTCTAAAATTCCTGGCTATCTTTTAGATCTTTGTACCACTAAATATACTTGAAGATTTACTAAAGATTGAAAGTGGACTAAATCATCCGGTACCAGACCAGTTATTAGACCAGGTATCATTTTTATAACTCATCTAAAGTATTCTTTAGATGAGGTTAACATTTAAATCAGTAGACTGTGATAAGGCACATTTTCCCCTCATAATGTCAATAGCCTTCAAACAAGGAGAGAAGACCAAAATTCTCAAAGTAAAGGGAAGTTTGCCTTTAGATGGCAGCATTAAGCCTTCATCAGTCTAGAGTAACACTCTACCTTGTAGTTTTGATTTGCCAACTAATTAAGAGTTGAATGATCGGATTCCTTAAAACAAATCCCTCTCTCTGTGTCCCTACATAGATACAAACACATCCTATTGGTTCTTTTTCTTTGGAAAACTCTCACTAAAACAACATGTAAGTTGGTCAAGGTCATTAAACTAGTCAGTAGGAGAGTGAGAATTTAAATGCAAGTATGCTGAACACAGGTACAATGCTCTTCGCTCTCTGGGCTCACTGACTGCCGAGTACACAGAATATAAAGCTGTTTACTCACCAAGTAGACGTTGCTTGCTGACTGCAGTGAGTAATACAGATGAACAACGAAAGGGCTTTTGCTCAGCGCCAGTGCATCTCTCTCAGCTTGTACCTGATGAGTCATGTTTTTATTGATCATGTCTGCTTTTTTGACAACCTATAATAGATAACATGACAGTAGACACATTTACCCTCTTTCTTATTACTAAGTATTCAGAAGTTTCAAAGTTGTCATTATAAAAACACCAAGACGGGTAAAATTTATAGATGTCATTTAGATATGACCAACATTAGGAAATTGCCAGAAATATATCTCAGATGGTAAAACGAAGAAGAAAACATTGTTTTTAAGATAACATTGCTTGCCTTGGAATTAAACAGCAAAAGTACCATGTACTTGAGAAGGAAAAGGAATTAAAACACTTCCTGACTGATCTGTATGTTTGTAGGAAAGCTTTATTATAACAAAGTCAAAAAATAATAATGTTCCTAATAAGCCCACCCAATAAGCAGGGAGTTGGTTAGATAAATAGTAACATATGTTTATATGTATACATTTTAGCTCCTCATTCTTTAACAGAAAGGAATAGAATAAAAATGTCAGGGACTGGTAAGATGGTCTGGTGGTTAAGAGTATGTATTATTCTGCAAGAAGATCCAAGTTCAATTGCTGTGGGATGGTCTGTATGTCAAATT